CGCTGCAAGTACAATGTCTCAAAACCTGTCAATCGAATTCGATTATATTCTAGAAAAATCCTGACACACAAACATTTACAGAACAATGAGCACATCTTCAGATAATCAGCGCTTACGAAACTTTGTAATATTCGATGATTATATTTGCATCACCGCAAAATATTAAGTATTGTTTCTAATGTTGGAGGTGCATAATAGTTATATTGAGTTTACGTAGAAAAGAAAGCTGATGAAAAAATAAATAAGTGCTGTCGGTTTATTCATGAGCTGAAAGTTTTTCCTTACGTTTGCACCAAAGTCTTAAGATTCTGGCTGGAAGAAGAACAAATGAGAAAACATGTTTTAGCAAAATTTCTATTTCTTTTCGATTTGATTAGTTCATGAATTATAAGAATAAAGAAAATCACAAAAATAATGGAAATTGTGAATTAGTGCCGTTATTAATATAAGAATCAAGGACGGTAACTACAATGCATTTAAAATTTCAAATCTTTGTCCCAGTTTAACGTGGATTAGGTTTTTATCTACTCGGAGTACAATATTGTTTGATTATTTCAGCGCACGAGGTAATCAAGTTGAAGGTGGAGACGTCATTTGATGGAGAAGATACTATTGAGAAATGATTAATATTTCTCCATCAGTTTTAGCCTTACCCTGCAAAGCCCTCCACTGCAAAAATTACACAGCGCGGCATCACCCGTGCAAGAACGTCTTTTTTTCAAGTGAAACTATCATAGGCAAACATTTGGCAAACAGCGTAATTTTTTTAACCTTAAGTCAGTTCCGCTAGAAATAACTTCTTCATAGAAAAAAAAAAACTCTAAACCGGTACCCCATGATATGTAGCTTCAACAAAAACAAGTTTGATTCCATTTTTCTTAGTAAGGGAAAAAAATGGTCACTGCGACAGTTCTGTTAAATGTATTTATAAGAACGGGTACAAGTTAGAAACAATTTTGTTTACGTCTGGAGTACCTAAGATAGGCAATTCTCTCTAATACTCTTTTGCTATTTAATTTCTTTTGAAGTTGTACCAGTACCTTAGGTGTACGTATGAGTTCAAAAAAAATTTGTTCTATCTCGATCGTGTCAGTAAAAAGCTACTGACTTTAAGTAACAAAATTATAAAAATTACTGAAAGGAGGTTTGAAAAATGTTTACATGACTATTGAGGGGGAATTACATGCAGTCCAGTTTTTCTAGATCATTGAACTTTTTCGCATAAAATTTTTGAACTCTGTATTTCTTCCATCTTAATCAAAATTAGTTCAAATTTAGTTGTGCATCACAGCAAATTGATAAAATAGAAATATGCAGTCTTAGTGCCCGCCGGGACTACGGAGAGTGGTCATCGCTGGTCAACATACTCTCATTACAAAAATAGACAAAATATCAGACTAATTACGTCCCACTATCTTACTCTGCTATCCTTCCTTAAATCCTTAACGTAACAAAAGTAATTAAGGATTACATTGAGAATCTTGAAAATTTGCTATGAACTTCGACAGGTCAGCTGTTAGTTCATCAATTCGACTTGGGCATTCCCTTCAGTGCACATCACCTTCAAGGTCTTCTTGCCGTTGGAGCGTTTGACAAAGACCTTTAGAGGCTGTATGCACTTTTTAAGATGTCATTTTTCCTTTGAGGTTCTGTTCTGATAAGTCACTAGACCTTTGGTTCAGGAAGTTATGCACCAAGGGCCATTTATCATGATAATTTATCGAAAGCCAAACCTTTGAGAATGTTCACATCCGCACAGCTGTAGAAGAAGTAGTCATCACCATATTCTGTGGCTTGATGAGTAATTCTGATAGCGCAGTTGGCACATTCAAATTGTGGCGGAAGGGCAATCTGCTTACCGTTATGGCTGAAGATTTAAGTGGTTATTTTCTGTTTTAAGAGAATCTTAAGAACTCAGATCTTACGTGATGTTGTAGGGGTCAAGGAAATTCGTGAAGATAGCGATAGGCTCATCCAGAGAGTTGAGGAC